GTCGGCAGGGTATAGTACTCTCTTCTGAGTGAGGTATTGAGGAATTTTGTGTTGCTACACACACACACACATACGAATCACTGGATTACTTAGTGAGGATTTCCATTTGTATTATCCAATCTGTCGGCCCATCGACATTGGCTATCACGTCCAAACTGGACAAACGCCACAGCTCTTCTAATAGCCTTTCGCGCAAAGCCATGGGCACCCTTGTAGCTTGCAAACCTATTGGCCTAGCAGATTCGCTTAATGATAAATGAGCACATCCCTCAAATTTCCCAATAACCCCATCGAACACGGCAGGATACAAGTCAACAATATCTGCAGCAGCTTGGAACGAGTAGACAATACGAGCATGGTTAAACGAAACAAAACCAAGGCGCTGGATGGAATCAATACCCAATATGGGCATAAGATCTGTTGGCACAAGCAAAAATTCAAGCTGGTGTTCCGTTCCGTCCTTAGGGTTGACAGCGACCACGATAGCCTTTCCTTTCGGTTGCAATCTCGAGCGGTTCCACATTTTGTGATAACACGGTGCTTTCCTGCATTTTACTCCCGCACAATGTCTCTCGGGCAGTATGTTGACAATGGCTCCTGAATCGAGCTGAAAGCGAACTGGACGTCCTTGAATTAACAGTGTAGCCTAAATGCACTTCTGCCCTCCAAAATGCTCCATGTTGTTTATTGAGAGCTCCTGTGTGTCGTGTTGACTTTCCTTGTCTACTGCGCCGACTTAGCCGGATCTGCAAGGACGAGCGAAGTGGTTTCTCTTTGTACACTTCATGCAGGTTCTGTCTCAAGCTGGACGGCTCTCCTTTCGTCTTGGGTGCTTGCGACCCAAGAATGACAGCTGGCCTCCATCCCCATGGATGGCAGAGATAGAGCTTCCTTGGTCTTCGGTACTGCACAAAGTTCTGTCGTGCTGGCCCGCAAATGCTGGAGCTGTCGTGAGGTTCTTGTTTCGCTAAGGCACATGTCCACACACTGATGTAGGGACAGCTTTCTCTACCTTAGAAGATCTCGACTGAGGTCATCATTTTCGATGCCGCTTTTGATGCGTTCGTGTACCAGAGAGTCCCGCATACAATTACAGAAGTTGTAAGTCCGCGCATGGACTTTCAGTTCTGTAATATAGGTCCCGACTCTCTCATGGGGTAGGCGATTGCGACCAAAAACAGCTATCTTTGGTACGTTTCATTTGCTTGACCTTCGCAATATTTGCAAATCTCTTGACTATGTCCGAGATGCCCGGCTCATGCTCCTCCGTGTCACTAAGATCCAGTGTCTCAACTACTCGTCTGGATTCGTCGTCAATAGTGTGTCTGAACACAGCAAGCTGGTAAGACATCGGATGGGAATCCAACTGAGTCAAGGTGACGAAATCCGTCCACCGCTTTCCACATTCTCCAGTTGTCAGGCGGCGTGTTTTCCGTCATGGGTAGTGCAGTTGCCAGCGGAATCGACGGCTGTGCACCAAAAGCGAGCGGGGTCCGGCGCGTCAGCTTCTTCTCCTCTGTCACCAGGTTGCGTGCCTGGTTCTCCCAGCCGCGTCAAGAGAAAGAACTCACACAGGCTCTGCACACAAACGTGCTACTCAAACGTCTAATCGAATGTACAACTAGCTGTGATGTGAAAAACTCACCCGCCCACTCAATCGATCGCTTGATCGAGCAAACTGAGACAGACAGTTTAATTTGCCGCAGTTTTCAGTTACCATCACATACTGTTTCTGACGATTCTATTTCATCTGCTTTTCTTACCCACATCACCAGATAGTGCCCGTCAAGAGATAGCTCTTCACAATAAACGAACCGTCTTTCCATTTTTTCATCAATCCATCATAAAATTTCAGTACCTATTGACAGGGAAGATTATATGTGAAAGGAACAAGGTACAATGGAACATCGGATGAGTAGTGTTCGCCATCTTCTCCTGTGAGTGGTGGGAAGATATAGGGTGCATAGATGCGCTTCTGTAGGTGTATGTGCTTCTGTGTATGTATGTGACAATGCATCTGAAACGCCTACGTCGAGGGAATCACTATTCAATATCACAGTTGAGTCATGAATTAACCGATCTGGGTCTGGATTGCGACACGCAATTTCAATTGAGGCAACGGTTTGCTTTGAAATCAGACCACTGCTATTTCGATCAAGGGGACCGCGTTAGCAGTAGATAATTGCGGGCCTGCTCTCAACTCTGTAGCAGTCTATTCACATAACAAGTTCAAAATCATCCTCACTTATTTAGTAGCTGTTGTGAAAAGCGCTGCATGTAGCGACTAGGTGGAATAGAAGTCGAGGCTTCGTCTGTTATTCCAGTGTCTTCAGGTTCTAGTAACCTTTTTGATCGCCCTACGTGAGGTACGTACCCATGCATGGATTACGGTGTTGTGGCACAGCAAATAACATTTATCAGCTCGGTGTCTTTTCCATCTCTCTTGGTTCCATTCCGGAACAAACTTTGTTGCGCAGTAGTCAACCCACATAGCAATGAAACGCGTTAATGACCTGGGGAGATAGACAGACAACGGAATAATGGCAGCTGTAAAATTCTGTGGGTTGTAGTATGGACCGATGGGACGGCATCTGCAAACTGAACAAACCGGCAAACTACTTTTCGTAAACACCGAGTCTTCCAGAACATTACCCCTGTTCAGAAGAAAGAAAGGAGACTTGCTTCGCAAGTTCACCACTTGGATTTTGGGGCAATGCTGTATTCTCCGAATAACCGAAAACACGTACGATGATTAACTGATGCCATCTAAATTCCTTCCTGCCAAATAACCCGATTTGCCAGCTTATTCATGTAATACACACGTTCACGTTTTTAACAGGTGTTCATTGCGGTGTGACTTTTACTCCACAGCGGCAAAGCTGTTAGTGTTACTCCCACAGATAATCAAATGACGACATCCTGATACGTAGTCTCAGAGACACTAGGCGATCGGCCAGTACCGCTACTGGTGGTTGCTGACCAACTCTGCCCGCCTATTAATAACGTAGCCATAGGTAATCTTTAGTCACAGCAAAAGCATTCGGACCAATATGAAGGCGGATGGACTGTTTACTTATTCACGTACCACATACCGTTGATGTCAAGTCAATCGGTATGAAGCGTTCACTAAGCAATCACAAGGCACTGCGATTACTCGAACATCTGCCAGACCAAGTTATCCTGGGCATGAAGCGATTTCGTCTGGATATGCTAACGGTTATTGAATCAATTCAAAATGCCGAATGGTTCATAAATTGTCCATGTTGGGATCATGTTATCAACCAATTTTGTCTGTTACGCTGCTATTGGTAAATTTCTACTAATATAAAGCGACGTCATTTGATGGAACCTATCTGTGAGCGAATTCAAACATGTGCGCCTACCAAAAGCCACATTCACACACCATGTCACGCAGAAGAGCGCGAGTGGTTAACAATACCACGTGCACGAGAAAGAAGTTGACAAGCAGCCTTCTCGTTTTGCTTCACTTACTTACAGTACCTTCAGCAATACCCTCAAGAACTTCCACGATTAATACAACTAGTCCAGGCGGATCGCACGCGCTTTTACAGCCATCTAAAATCAATGCATTATTGGAATTAAAAGGGCGATCGCGGATCGTTAGCGTAGATGATGGGCTTCAGGGAGCTCGCACTTTGTTAAATTTCAGCTGTGATCGTCGAACACGTTCTCTCGGATGGTGTAGAAGTTTCATGATTATTGTCAGAAGAGCGTTTTTCCACCTTTTTAAAGTACAGCAGCCTACTGAACACGCAACTAAGTCAAAAGTGACTGCCTTCTCTCTTACTCACAGATAAGAAATCTAACTACTTAGTATTAACTAGAGTGTCTTGAAATCTGAAATTGCACTATGTATGGGTGGCAGAATTTGCTCACACTATGTAACAATGGTACCGTGACTCTACATGTTCTCAATTACCTCATTCTCGTTTGACTAGACACATTGAAATCTGTTATCCCGTTAGATCTTCTGGTTATTGCGTACCTGCACCAGAGTCACGAAAGCGACTACTCAGTTTTGGAGTGCAGTTGCTTCTTTTTATTCGTACCGTGCCTTCAAGCGACAGCCTGCGCCTCCGTACTTGATGCAAACGCAGTTGAGTACTACGCACCTAGGAGTTCCCTAGCAGAGTAGGTCTTGTTCTTGATGTCCCTAATGAGGTTCGTGGACGCTAAACACTTCATTGGAGCCTTCAATTCGACTTCGCTGAGTATGCTGACGTTCAGGCTACATGATTGATATTCAGTACAATTACATTCACTGGTCCGAGGAACAATGAGTTTAGAATAGTTTCAATGGACTCGGGCACATTGATCTCTTTTTATTAGGCGCTGGACAAGTAGTTTCGATGACATGAAGATGTAAAGCAGCAATTTATCGGAAGAACACTTGGTCCTTTTGGGCCGTAACTTTTCTCTCTTACTCAAACCTCGCAAATGCGCACAAATCTCATATACTACCGATTTTGGTGGCCAAAACAGTTTGGTATGTCTCCGCACGTAGAGAAATTAAGACTATCAAAGAGCAATTATGGTGACGTTTGAATGTATGTATAATTCTCCATGGGCGACAACGATGACCATACGTTGCTCGTTAAACCCTCGATGCAACCACACATTTCCTCATATTTTGGAACTAAGCCATAAGAATATCCCTATGGAATAATTACCGATAGACATAAGGTGAACTATCTACGCCAAGAACAATCCTTTATTACCTCATGGGAACCATCAACCTTAGCAGGTAAAAGAAATGTACACTTGTATACTTCTCACACACTAATTTTCTATATTCGGCCTGAACTTACAGCGAGAATTGTAAAGCGACCTCCAGTCTGCATATGATCAGTGCTTGTTGAATCTTTAACAAACCTACTTGTATGTCATTAATTCATAAAAGTTGTCATTAACTCCAATATTGCCTAGTGTACATAAGGACCCAGCGTTCTGCTTTGGTGTGGTATAGAACAGAAAAAAAGTTGAATAGCAGCTGGATTGCTAATAGCACATTAAAGAGTAAAAGCCATACATCTATGCGCCGTCAGTGGAAGGTTCAATAAAGAAGCTTGTATACATATAACGTCAAACGTTGAAGGGTACCAAACTGAAAAACCAGTTTAATAGTACTTCTGCGGAAGAACAAAGCCATGGTTTGATAGGTGTGTTGCATCGTCCATAATTCCGTGTAGGTGCTAACAACGACCTTCTTCTCGGATAAATTTTGCTTCTAGGCGGGTGTATACGCGAAGTCGTAGGTAGTTTCTTGCCTGTGTGAATAAATGCAAGCGTTTCTATTGTTTTAATATATTGTAAGTAGAATTTACATGCCTCGCTTTAGACAGTCAAAAACGAAATTAGTTCACTGTCATTCACCTTTGCAATCACCATCGCTTCAACTATCCTTTTGGAGCTAGACTTAGCTTATCTTTCCGGGTCAGTGACATATAATGGCGGAGAACAAGCACACAAATAGAGTGACACGGCTCTTCAAGGTTTCACTAGGTTATGCATCTTTTCGTTTGGCACTTCTATCGCAGAGTTGTGAACTTAGCAAATAAATTCAAATTCATTGTTCATAATATACGCACGTGCTGGAGTTACAACAGCTTATTTGCAAGCTCCTTATAAGGACATCAATGGAATTGTTAACATACTGGGACCACTGATCAATACCGAATAAACACTGGATCAAATAAAGCATCCTGTGATAAGTTGCCATTTGCAGTAAAATGCAAACATTATGTTGCCAATGGTGGAATACTTTTTTACATGCTGGCCACTAGCGCCCTTAGGTCTCAGGCATATTGCCAACATAACATTTTCGCACGGATTTCTAATAATTAAATGAATGATCGACCTGTTCTCGGTGTGTTTGGTTTCACATAGAATAGGAATGAAAACAAGACAACATAGAAACAACCTAACCTACTTAAAACTAATGTACCCTAAGTACGTGACAACTTTAAGGACTCCGTGCTTACTACTGCCTTACTACACGCCAAAAACCTGGACTCAACCAAGTCAGGTGTGCAGATCGGAGGAACCCCGAATATCTGAATCAACGAATCTGATTTCATCTGGCAATGGAAAGCCATTCGATGGACCTAATGCATAGTTGAAGCGCAAAGTAAATCAGCATTCGATCTACATCAACTCACGTCTCACTCGGTAGCGTCTCGTTTATTGCTGCAACAAATACAAAGGATATTCGTTAGCAATTCTCAAAGTTATGAGCAAAACGAACAGCATGCATTTAGGTTATTGCGCCCAGTAGCTACGTGAGAGCGTAAAATAGGTATATTTTCCATAAAGTAAGAAGCAGCGTCCATAGTTGAACAATGGGTAAGGAACAATGTTTTATCATGAGTAAAAAAGCAGATGATCGGCAAGTCTGGTAGAATGGTTTGAGGTAGAAAAAAGGATACGTGATTCATCGGTTTAGGCGAGTATATATGTAACCGCACTGCTGTATAACGGTAGTTTGAAATGAGATTTGAATGTGCGTAAACAAAATAATATGGGCATGGGTTATCGTTCACATAACACGTGTGAAAAATTAAAAATGAGAAATGAAAACCCTTACTCGTGTGCAGCTTTCCTGGGTCGACGGGATACGTCAATTCAGTGGTAGCGTTAAACAAATTATGTGCTGAAAGTGAAAATGAGCACGCTGAGTAATGGTGCTAGGTTGACACCGGATATAGCGCATTATATGGCGTAATGTAATTGGTTGAGTGCATCGTCTAGAGGATTTTGAATACCGTCCGTGTGGGGAAGAAATAAGGGAACTGGGGAGGGCGTTCCATGGTTGGCACATGAGAAGTGAAAAGTACTTCGGCGACAATCCAACCGGCTATACTGTGTGGTCAGCTTTGGCTGGTGACCTCTGTTTTATTATGATCCAGCGTCAAAAGAATACAACAAGGTTGGTTTGGACCCCTTAGGATCAAATAATCATTATCAAATCACCAACACAGCTGACTTACTGCACCCAGTTGTAATCGATCACCCAGCTTCAGCTAGTGTAGTAAATATTCCTGAGGATCCAGTAACCTTGGTGGCTATCGTTGATAACATAAGAGTTTTCGGTGAAAAAGATGAAACACACCCACGAGCAGAAATCTTTTGCAGTCAATGGAGAAAAAATAGTAAAACATGTCTGTCCACTGGTGAAGTCGATTTGGACACTGCTAAGTATTTGTCGAATGAAGAAGCGTCTAGTTACTGTGTTGGTCGCAAATACCCCGCACAAATGGGATGGACAACACAACCATCGATCGAGGGCATCATCAAACATCACAGACTGAACTCTGGTCTAGCGGAGAGTCCGTATTGTATTCTCTCAAGTAAGCAGGCAAAAGTATTCCTCACACAATCTTCACAACTTGTGAACCGATAACCATATCAAAAAGCACTCGACAGCTGCCACCCGAAGGCGTTGCACGTGAACTCTCGACCACCGTGGTATTCATAGTGTACTAGCCTTAACATACCAGATTCTGTACATGTTTTTGAGGCAGCAAATGCATTTTGCGCTGCATCCGGCATACAACCGTGCTTGCTCACAGCCAATCGACTGCCTAAATGGATCCACGCTTATCCAGCACCGGTTAGGATGAGCTCGACTTGTCAACCTACCTTAACTACTATAGTCAGTAAGCTAGTTGTTATTCGCATATCGTCACACCTAAGAAATTTATTATTTAATAGACAAATGCCTAGATCGCAGGCACCTATCTACCTGAACGGCGCGTGATAGCAATGTTGTCAAGTCATCAGCGTGCACTCCGCTAGTTATCCCTTACGATTGCATACCTTAGAATTAGTCCAACCCACCTGCTAGGGTATTTGATAGCACCAACACAACAGTGGGATCGAAACAAGTGAATTCGTGGTTATACACGCTACTGGCGTTCAACGTTCCTGACTCCATGAGTGTAGCTACACGTACTAGTGACGTGAGCAAACCACCGGTTGATAATGAAATTCACTTCTCCAAGGATGTTGCAGAAACCGGTCATTAACCTAAATCTCACAATCAGATGATAGATGTTAACACTTTAGAAGATGAGCATAATTCATTTGCTAGGCGGTTCCTTTGTAACCTAAAAGATAGTACATCTTGCCATCTGGTCTCTTGCATGTCCGCTCCGATCGATGCGCTTGGAGCTTTGATGAACGATACCAATTCGTGTGACTTTCGCCCCTGAGGGAACTTGGTAAGCATTGTAGGAAGTACAGGAACTGAGGTGGTTGCTATGGGTCACTATATTCATCAATGCATGATACCCCTCTTGGGCACAACCCGAACTGCATGCCATCTCCTTCACTAGGAAACATAACAGAAACAAATATGTTTCTGTTCTTCGGGGTCATGTAACGCTTACCAACACGGGGACATGCGTTGCACTTTTCGACCCAAGGAAATCAACACCGTGCACCAAAATCTCGATGCTGACACTAGCCATATAGCCCCCGACATCTCTCTTATAGTGGGTAACGCACCAGTGATATTTGGTGACCAGCAGTGCGGATGTGGGGGGCAGTGGAATGGTTAACCACCACAAGCGGCCAGCCAAATTTCAACATATAGGTAATGAATATTGAACCATACTTTATCATGGGTAAACAACAGTTGCCTGACTAGTCCAGTGGGGTGATTAGAGTGGGGAAACAATGGATAAAGCGATAAGTGAACCGTCGGTTTAAACGATTACAGATTTAAATGCAATGCAATATAACGGTAGTTTGAAATGCGAATTGGATGTACGCACACAAAGCAATTATGGGGAGCGGTTATACTTCATGTAATACGTGAGAAAAAAATAAATAAGGGAAATGGCAACGCTTACTCGTGGGCTGTTTTCCTGGATCAACGGGATACGTAAATCAAGTAGTAGTGTTAAACGAGTTATATGCTGAAGGCAAAAATGCGGATGTTGAATTGTAGTGCTAGGTTGACGCTGGATATATATGGCAATTATCATATATGTATGGATAATACCATGCAATCTGAAATTGGGAAGAATACAAAAACGGTGTATTTCTCGATAGTGCGAGGCACAGTCTAACTAAATGGTCTGCTCATTATGTACAGCTGGATGGACCGGGTCGACCACTGGCACGTAGAGTGGAGGTGTTGCGGTGTTGCCCATCCCAACGCTGACACTCAATGGCCTGTTTCGACCTCGCTGGGACCCTTCAGATCGGGATAGCCTTAGCTGCTTGGGACTCGGGGCCTAGTGACTAACCACTGACGCCTTGACAACTATGCCACTAAGAACCGTGAGCAACTCTTGGCAAAACGGTAAAGTACGCAGAGTATTTAGAAATTGGGATCATAAAAACGCATTTTAAGCTACAGGGCAATTTCAGTTCCTTAATGTATGTGTCCGTGCGTGACTAAAGTTATAGCATCTAACCAATGAACGATGGCGTTGTATGTAGAATATTAATATTTCGAATAAACTGGTATCTTCCATGTCTTCATTTTCGTACTAGGATTTATGTAGTCAGAGGAATTATGGCACGTTCCGCATAACAGCGCAATCGTTGAACTAGAAGACAGTATGATTTCTTCTTGTCGATATACTTCTGGCAGAACCGTGATATTATCTCCCAAATCACATGCAGAGGGACTGTCCGATGCCTTGATGTACTATCCTTGGGGAATATGTATGCAGCCAATCCATAGATTATTTGCAGTGTACCTAAGTACCTTCAGCTAGACACCAAATGTTTCAAGGTATACGTTGCGATCCGAACTTATCAGTGTTCTACATTTAAACGCCTCTGTTTTCTGGTCAAGTATTACACATGAGTTGCCACACATTAACCGTTTGCTTATTTAGTGTGACAGAACAATTCGTCTGCTGATTGCTCATAGGTAAATCATGGCTTAGAGAAATAAATGTGTACCACAGTACTCACTCAAGGAGTAGGTTGCTTCAAAGTCCACCATCTCACCCATGGAACGCAGTATTAATGTGAGCGCATTCGAAGTCGATTGGACAAAATTCTGTGGCCAAGTAGGCTTGTCGTGAAGCCACCTAATCTCCCTTGCCGAACAATCTGCTCCATCGAGTATCTGAAGGAAGTCGGCGCCATTTGCAGTCTGGTGAATGTGGAAATCAAGTAACATCGTACAATAATCCGTGTCATTTCATTGTGGTGTAATTCGTGACATTTTAAGAAAACAAACTGTCACTAATGTCGATAGAAATTAAACGCACTGCTATGAAATGATTGATGACGTCATTACTAGTTCCAGAGAAACCGCGGAGTGGTTCTATTGGTTTCTTTCCGCGAAAACATTTTTTACCATCATTTTATTGCATATGTGTACTCAGTAGTCTATGATTAACAGCAATGTCATGGGGCATTTAATAAACCAGAGGTGCAAACATGTCCTGCAAAACATGGATTTCTTTATCACATTAACTACCGCCTGACGTTTCGTGTTGGTCGATTAAACCTTGCACAAGCACTGACAGCTAACATACAATTAAACTGACTAGGCGCGTAGTCTGAGCCAGTTGACCGAGTAACAATCAAGCTACACGTGTCAACAACATGCTCGATGACAACTCGAACGTTCCACTACTCCCATAAAACCACATTTTGTGTTCGATTCATTTCAACGAGATATAGCTATTACTAATCCCTGTCCTTACCTGAGTGGTGAGTGCTGTCCTATTTTGGAAACCACAGTTAATTTTCGAAAAACATATGCTCTGGACTGTGGTCACTAGCAAAACTCCTACTACTAGTAGCAGAACACATTTGCTTTCTTAACTAACCTTGAATTTCGTTATCCTTAGCTCCACCGTATGACCCGGTTCTCCATTTATGCGCCAAATACACAGCACAGATCGTTCGCAACAGGTCGTGTGAGCGATGGTGCCTTCTGCGGATACAATTTCTCCACCGCAGTTTCCTGCCCAAGGGAAACAAAGCATGAGATATTTTGCGCAGGTATTCAGGTTTTCGGCAATTGGGAATACTCTAGCACAACATGCAAACTCGAATGCTTGAACTGACCGTCACTTATACCTTGGTAAGTTTGATGTGCAACACATCGTGTGTATTTAGGAAGATTACACTCTCGTCCTAGTCTCCTGCCATTGCGGCAAATAATGATATGTGCTGTACACCGGAGATTAACGCCAGGTGCAGTAAAACCAGTGCAAGGTTAGCACGCAGGATTAGGCCGCACGATTAGCAAATGTTACTTCACAACGAAGTAAAAATAACATTATCAACGAGTTTAAGCAAAATAAAGGTCGCACTTTTTCATCGTCGTGAATTTTGTCGGAATTTCATGCGAAGCTACGATGATGTTTATTCTCTGGGGATTAGGAGGGCAAACGTATGGTTAAACTCACTCAACAAACCAGTTGGTGCTGCTACTGAAAGCAGAGGGGAGTGAAAAACAGTACTGTTCATGTGTTTGCATGCAAACGAGCATCACATCATACACAATAAAATCCTCGAATTATATTACGCTTCGGGAGGCGTACAGTGTTTGCTCCTTGGTACTTAAATGTTATACATGAGAACCCTAGTCCCTGATACAAGGAACAGTGAGCTTCCGGTGTCCATAAAACTCTATACATTGACCATAAATATCAAGTTCCTACTCTGATATAGCACAGTTTAGAAACTGCATGCACCGAGTAGCTGAGGGCACCGTGGACAAAGCTCATTACAGCTCACAGCTCGCGGACACAACTATGACACAGAGAATGGCGCAATAACTTTCCATCTTATGTACAAACAGCTTTGATCCGGCTTAATAGGCTATGACCAAAATTTCGCCGTATGTATCAACTTTTTACTTAACGGTTATTTCAGACGAGGTGGGTGTAATCAGACTCAATTCACTCTCTAACCTGCTTCTTATCGCCTGCAACTATACGTCGAATACATCTTGGGGACCAATTGCTAAGTAGACTACTCATCATCCTACCGACGCTCAGCTTGCACTCTACGGTTAATATCTAGTAGAATGATCGCCACAAAACACTGAGAGTTCATCCAGAATCATCCAAAGGTACCTGGTTAGCCTATTTAGATTGTCGAAATCCAACCTAGATTTCAACCATTAGTTCTCTTATTTTTGCCAGTGCGCAACTGAACAGATGTGTTTCCAAAGTGTAACTCAATACCAACAAGCTTACTCTCCTCTAGCATTTTTGTACAACGATGAAAACATTTTGCTCACAGAGTGCACTGAATGGATCCTCAACTCATCGATTTGCACCACTTTAATCGTTTCACTGCCTTTGTTTATCGGGGTTCAAAATTGCAAATGTAACTGCTCGCCCTAAACAATCTGCACGGTGTTAGGTAGCTTTAATTCGGCTTGCTTTGTTATTGGGTTTAGCGTAACTCACTTGTGCTGACTGTTGATTGTGCGTTGGCTGAATGGCAAAAAGTGTATCCAGTCAATCAAGAGATCTACTGTTTAGAATTTAGGATATCCATAATCCAATAGAATACGTTTGTTTGCATAGGGTGAGTTGGATAAATGTGATTGCCCGCTCAGTTAATGGGGAGCAAGAATACATTACGAGGTTAAGGCGTGAAGGTGTGGAAGTCTTCACTGGCCATTTTGGTCAACAACTTTGTAAATATACCGACCCATAATCAGTATGTGTGAGTTATACTTTGATGTTGTTTCTTGAGATTCCTCCTAGTCACGTTTCACGCTTTCACTGGGGTGTCGATGAATACTCAATCCGCACCTACAGTTCTCCAGGAATCCATGACATTCATCCGAGGGCGCTGAACGTAGCAGCAGCAACTTTTGCTGAGCCATTAGCGCATTTCTTTCAAACGTGCATGGACAAGCAAATTGTGCTTCCCTGTGGAAAAGTGATCTAATCCCGCCAATTTTCAAAAGTGGCAGTCGTCTAGAACCCGCAAATTATCGCATAGTGATCCTTCTTCTGTGCTCTCAAAGGTGTTAGAGGCAGTCAGCACTGAGTCTATAGGATCATCCAGAACGTTACAACATCATAGTACCTGAGCAGTACGGTTTATACCAACATCTTTCGTGCACAACCAATATATTGTTTACACGTGTCAGTTGGACGGAAACGGACGATAAAGGGAGAGAAAAGGACGTCATTTGCCTTGACTTCTCCAAAGCCTTTGACCGTCTCAACCACTACATTCTGTTTTACAGACTGGAAAGCTATGGAGTTGGGGATCATGTCTTTGGGTGGATCAGGAAATTCATGCTGTATCGGTAACTGCTAGAGCACGAAGTGCTCTGCCCGGTTCTATTCATTTCGAATGTGGTATTCAACAAAGATCAGTGAAGGAGCCGCGGCTGTGCTTCGTGTTCCTTAATGAGTTCACACGTTTGACTGCCTCGGATTTCTGGATTTTCGCTGCTGATGTTAAGATATGGTGCGAAAGCCTACCACGGAAGTCACGGTGCGCTTCAACGAAACATGGACACTGCATATGAAGGACCACGCAACAATCTGAACCGGTATAATTCATCTAAGTGTAAGGTGGCCCACATTCGTCACCAACCGAACACTATACACAAGCTGGCAGACCATGAACTGTAGACTGTCCTCCATGGGGCTCGGCCTTGGGACATGCATCCAGACTACTCTGGGCTGCTCATAATCCCGTTTTAGGGCGCCTTATCCGCCAAAGTTGCCGACCACCGCTGGGATTTCTAGCATTAGGCTTGATAAATAAACAGATGATTTTTCTACTCAGACACCTAATTTGTTGGAGCCAATACAACCTAGAAATATGCAAACCACGATCACCTCATTGCGGCACGCCACCCGTAACAATGCTGGCACCACTTAATATTCGCTGCATCTTCTAATTTGACATACTCCCTCACTTTTGCTGTTATAAACATTCCCTCCCTCCTACCCGAATTACATCTGTTTACAACCTTTTGTCTTTCTTAAAACTCCTCTTCATGTTTTCTTTACGGAAACATGGTGTAACTCAAACGTCAGCGACCTTCATCTTAATGCTAATCGCTATCATCTGTTTTGAATTGACCGTCTGAATTAACGCGGAGACGGATGCACTATATACCTTCTAAACGATATCACATTCATCCCCGTTGATCAACATGCTCCCAGCGATCTAGGAGCTTCGTTATGGTTGGTTCTCCCATACTGTCATATTCTACTGGTTTTAAGTTATAGATTTCCTAGAGCTACAACCAACCAAAAAGTCAACGCTGCTTCCGATAGTTCCTACAAACATAAGTTCATATGTTGAGATTTCAACTTGCCACAATTTGGCTGGACTACTTCTTCGCCAACAATATCCGGGAACCTCGTGAGAATATTTCATGGCATTCCAATAAATGGTTAGAATCAACATGTGAATGAACTCATAATAAAAGCCAGTACATTAGATCTGATATTCACAATGGGCATTCCATTAGTTTTTGGAACTACAGACAAACCACTAATGGGCTGCGATCGTAATACTGTACTGTGCAGCATGAATGTCCAAACAGCAAACTAAATGTCAGCGACTAGCAATTCGAATCCACCTGGGCCAGTTTCGGCAACCATTGCAGTACCCTGAATTGGGAGCCATTCTTCTTAACACTCGATCCAAACATAGTTAAAGTGAATTTACAGATAAACTTACTACATATACTGACCTACCAGCATTCCAGCTGCGGATAGACACTCATATCAGTGGTGTTTAAAACATGTCATGCATCAAAACCATCACTAAATGGAAGAAACTTTAGCCATAGTATCATAAAATAATAACTATGCTACACTAATGCAAATACATGAGACCCTGCTGAATATATAATATCAATCACAGCAGGTAAAAATCGATGCAGAAAACAAAGTCCTAAAAGCCCACAAAAGGTACAAACAATGGTAAAACATCTTAACAACTGGAATCAAAACACTACCATGAAATTCAAAGTAGGACTACCAGATGGTTCAACAACAGAGGAAGTTAACCCAATGCGTGATGCACTAAATTCTTATCATGCTAACTCCTTCACTACTATTATAAGTATACCCCATCTTTTCCGAAAACAGAAGACAAATGTAACCCTTCCGTAGCCTCGCACACGCATGACTAATGTTCAGAATCGATGAATCAAGGCATTTCTCACTGGTAAAATGCAAAGCTTGACAATGCCCGCTGGTAAAGAGTGAAAACAGAATGTGAATGTAACGACAAAAACAAAGTAACCCATCTCGGTGGAGGCGTCAAGTTTCGCTTGTGCACGTAGTTTGGTGGTTTCATAATGTGTCTCAGTAACATTGGTTATGTCTTGTAGTGCATTTTGCATATTGTTTCATCAGGTGCAGTTTTGATTACAGTCAAAGTAGAAAGAGAGATGACGGAAGTTGGGACAGGGTTCCACAACTGCGACATGCAGTTAGTGAAAACGCCGGCGGCATTGCGGCCGGCTGTACCATGTGGCTAACTTCAAGTGATAGGTAACGTGTGAGCTGTTGCGACTTAATTTCAAGAAGTGTTGACAGGGCCGGGGTCTTTAAATCGACCATTGCATTTGCATTGCACATCATTTTTACTTTATTTTCTGGGAAAATCATAAGAGTTACAGAGTAATCTGACAGCTATTTTGACCAAAGCACTTCTAAGGTCAACAACACCGCTATTTTGAATACCAATCCCACGTACCGCGCACCATACATGGTCTGTTGGTTTTGGCCACGAACTTTTGGGTCACTTGAAAACAATTAAGCAGAAATTTCTCACACAACCATACCCTCTCGGCTTGAAAATATACACAAGGGTTCTGTCTATCAATTCTCACTCAGTACTTAAGAACGCGGGCCCTAGCACCAGCGTGACGCCAATGCGCCATTTTCACTTTTCAGTATCCATTTATAAAATTTGGAATTTGGCAGAATGTCATTTTACTTAATCCGCAGTTGATACTATAAATGGCTAAAAATGCGCCCATCTGGGAAGCTAAACCGTACTTTGGCATTTGTGTGATATGACATGCGTGGTTTGGGTCTCATAGGATCTGAAACGCCGAAATAGGATCATCGCGCAGGCGACGGTATAGAACACCAAAACATCCTAGGGCCTGTAGTCGATGTTGGTAAGGGAGATGCGACAGGTCCTTAACAATTTTTTTACTCCTAGTTGTGGAGTTTCAAGAGTGGTAAGATCATACTTTGTCAGGGGTGTCAGAACTGGATGATGTATTCAACATGTGGCCTCGCGTAAGAGTTGAGCATTTGTGAAATAATAGTGGGATCAAACCAGCCAAACGCTGTCCGCAAGAGACGCAAGTGCGCAGTGACTTTCCTTGCTGCTTTTTCGGCATGTTTTGCGCAACCGTGATTGGCCTACACGAGCACACCAAGATCATTGTCATGGGAGATAGGTTGCAAAGAGTGCTTCCCCAAATGGTATGCGCAAGTTCTGTGGTGGCATATGCTCGACATTTGGCAAAGTTAAACTTTAACATGTTCTGAACTAAAGAATTGTGAGCCCTGTCGAGATCACCTTGCAGTGTGACGTTGTCGTTTACCATCCTGATGGTCCGCCAGAGTTTGAGATCGTCCGCGAAGAGTAACACATTTTAATCGATCACTCCCAGGTGGCCGTTAATGAAGACCAAGAAAAGCCTTGGTACTGGAACCGAGTCTTGTGAGACGCAACAGTTCACCTCTATCGGGTCAGATAAAGCGCTACGAACTCTCACATTTAGAAGACGTTGAAGGAGGGATGTAAGTATCCAACCCCGGATGGGATCACCGACTCCACAGCTCTTACGTTGAGGATGGAGCATGTGAGCAAGACAGTCAAATGTCTTTGAGAAATCGAGATACACAGCGTCAATGCCCTCCTCTGCGTGGACAGATTCCGTCCGGCTGGCACGGGCTAACGAGAGATTCGTGCTACTTGAGTAGGTTCAGCGGAAACCTACCTGCTCCGGTACGAGGTTATGGCCTCGTTCAAGTATTACATGAGGGCCACCACAATAGCGGATCCAGTGAGCTTAGAAAGAACTGGGAGAAGAGCTATCGAGCGGTAGTTTGCCGGTTCAGCGCTGTTGCCTCCCTTATAGATGGGAGTGATTACTCAATGCTCCCATATGCCCGGGACCTGCATGTTGTTTAGACAATGTTGGAAAAATCAGGACAACGATTCAGCCAGACTGATAGCAGCCATTTTCGATAGCCTTTGGCGTGAGTTGTCAGCGTCAAGAAAACTGTGCACACTCTGACATCGGTCGCTTCAGTACGTCCGTGGCCGTAAATGAGATGTGGCTAAGTCCAGCTGATGGCGTGACAGGTGCAAGAATTGTAGGGGATATCAGTGAGTGTTGGACATTACAAACTACTTGTTGTCTAACAGCGTTGGTCGCTTCTCGCACAGTTTGCACTTGCCTGCATGCGGATACCACACAGCA